ATTGCCATCATTCCACAGGATCCAGTTCTCTTTTCGGGCACTTTAAGACGGTAAAATGATGATATTTTCATTCTTATCGACGTTTCTAATGGTGAGTACATTTCCAGAAATTTAGATCCATTCGAAGAATATTCGGATCCAGATATTTGGAGTGCATTGGAAAGTGTTGAGCTGAAAAGTGTTGTATCTGATTCTTACGGTGGCTTACAATCGCCAGTTCTACCACATGGAGCAAACTATTCGGTTGGTCAACGGCAGCTTCTGTGTTTGGCTCGAGCGATATTGAGAAAAAATCGAATTCTTGTTTTGGATGAAGCAACAGCCAACGTTGATCCACAGTACGTATATCATCCATTTATAATTACTTTTAAAATCTAACACCTCATTTTCGTTTCCAAAACAGAACGGATTTATTAATTCAACAAACAATACGAGATAAATTCACGGAATGCACCGTTTTAACGGTTGCACATCGATTGCATACAATCATTGACTCAGATCGTGTGCTTGTTATGGACTCTGGACGAGCGGCCGAATTCGATGATCCACACACTTTGCTGCAGAATGAGAATGGCATCTTTTATGGCATGATTAAACAACTTGGTGAACAAGAATTCGTGCAATTGTCCAAGGTTGCTTTCGAACATTCTGCTGATGTTGAGACTACATCAATGTGAATTGCAGATCAAATTGCACGAAAATAATTCAATTGCACGCGTGGTTCAGATTTATATGTTATTGAATGTGTGGTACGAAACTCAAATTATTGCGGGGCGATTACGAACAATTGAATTTTTTTTGAAATGTTCATAAATATACAGAAGAATGTTTGATTATTTTATGCGTTTGTTTGTTTTTTATTATTTTCTATTTCAAATTTTGATGTATAACAAAATCAACAAATATTCATGCGAACACAATCGCTTTAGTAAGATGGTTTTTTGTAGTTATATCCATCTGAAGAAGCGGCAGCTTGAGGTGGTAAATAGTTTGATTTAGGTGCTTAATTTAAAAGAAAAATAAAGTTTATCATAGTATATTTTCAAATAATTGTGATAATGATTTTTACGAAAATTATTTAAATTATGTCTAACCTGGTGGCAGGTAATTTTGTGCTGGTGCGGAGCTTGAATGATCATCAAATGATGGTTTTGGTTGGTCATAGTTGTAACCCGATTGTGACTATTTAAGATGAATAAATAATTAATAGACATTTTTTTATTTTTCCAAATTGTGAATCTCAAGCTCAATCTTAAGTCGATGAATTGTCAAAAATATAATTAGTGGATAAAAGTTTTTGCAATGATTGACTCACTTGTGGAGCAGCTTGTGGTGGCAAGCTTTGAGCTGGTGTTACTGGAGGCAAATAGGTTGATTTTGGGGCTAAATTTAGAAGACAATTATCGTTATTCATGGTATATTTTCTAATAATTGAGATAATGATTTCTACAAAAAATATTTAAAGCGTATCATACCTGGGGCTGGTTGTGGGGGCAGATAACTTTGTGCTGGTGCAGAGCTTGAATGATCATCAAATGATGGTTTTGGTTGGTCATAGTTGTAGCCCGATTGTGACTATTTAAGATTAATACATAATCAATACAATTTTTTTCTTTTCTCAAATTGTGAATCCCAAGTCAATGAATTGTCTAAATTGTAATTAAAAGATAAACGTGTTTGCAATGATTGACTTACTTGTTTAGCTGGTGCTGCTGGAGGTAAATAGTTTGATTTTGGTGCTAAATTTTAAAGAAAAATAACGTTATTCGTCGTACACATTCTACTAATAATTGTGATTTCTATGAAAGTTATTTAAATCATGTCATACCTGGTGGCAGGTAATTTTGTGCTGGTGCAGAGCTTGAATGATCGTCAAATGATGGTTTTGGTTGGTCATAGTTGTAACCCGATTGTGACTATTTATTAAATACAAATAATTAATTACAAATACTATTAATTATTGCTTGCTCTTTCAATTTGGCAACATTTTCACTTCAAAGAGCTGTAAAGATATGAAATGTATTAAAAATTTGTGCAATATTTAACTTACTTTTGAAGCAGCTTGTGGTGGCAAGCTTTGAGCTGGTGCTACTGGAGGCAAATAGGTTGATTTTGGTGCTAAATTTAAAAGAAATTAACGTTATTCAATATTGATGGTATATTTTCTAATAGCTGTGATAATGGTTTCTATGAAAAGTATTTAAATCTTTTCATACCTGAAGCTGGCTGTGGTGGAAGATAGCTTTGAGCTGGTGCGGAGCTTGAATGATCGTCAAATGATGGTTTTGGTTGGTCATAGTTGTAGCCCAATTTTGGCTAAAGATATACATATTTTTTCTTAATAAATATTTTTTCTTTTCTCAAATTGTGAATCCCAAGTCAATGAATTGTTTAAATTGTAATTGGAAGATAAACGTTTTTGCAATGATTGACTTACTTGTTGAGCTGGTGCTACTGGAGGTAAATAGTTTGATTTCGGTGCTAAATTTAAAGGAAAAATATCGTTATTCATGGTATATTTTCTAATAATTGATAATGATAATGAGAAATCATTAAAAATATTTAAAGCGTATCATACCTGGGGCTGGTTGTGGGGGCAGATAACTATGTGCTGGTGCGGATTGGTGTGCTAAATTTAAAAGATAAACAACGTTATTCATTGTACATATATTTTCTAATAGTTGTGATAATGGTTTCTACGAAAAATATTTAAATCATTTCATACCTGGAGCTGGTTGTGGTGGAAGATAACTTTGTGCTGGTGCAAAGCTTGCATGATCGTCAAATGATGGTTTTGGTTGGTCATAGTTGTAACCCGATTGTGACTATTTATTAAATACATACAAATAATTAATTACAAATACTACTAACTATTATTTGCTCTTTCAATATGGAAACATTTTCACTTCGAAGAGTTGTCCAGATATGAAATGTGTTGAAGTTTTTTGCAATGTTTGACTTACTTGTGGAGAGTGGCTAGCTGCTGCTACTGGAGGTAAGTAGTTTGATTGGGGTGCTAAATTTAGAAGAAATAACCGTTTACATCTTTGATTGTGAATTTTATTTTAAAAAAAATTTCACACCTGGAGCTGGTTGTGGTGGAAGATAACTTTGTGCTGGTGCAGAGTTCGCATGATCGTCAAAAGATGGTTGCGGACAGTCATAGTTATAACCTGATTGCGGCTATTTAAGATAAATAAAAAAGTAACATTATATATTGTATAATACACCTTCAGTTCGATGAGATGTAAAGATATAAATCTAACAAAGTTTTCAGAATGATTGACATACTTGTGGAGCAGCTCGTGGCTGGTTATAGTTGTAACCCGATAAATGCGAAACGTCAGCGCTAACGGCAGCGACGACGAAAGCCACAACCAGAAGGAATTTCTGAAAAACGACATACATAATATTAGCAATTTATATTCAATATACTGATTCACTTTTTCTTTAATTTAATAAACTAATTTGGAAAATCTTTCTTTTTTCGCAAAATTTTCGATGCTTTGTAAAGAAAGAAAAAAATCTTACCATCTTGTAATGTTTGGATATTTTCCGGTCCAATTCACTTGAACAAATGTGTTCGAATGATTTTGATCCATCACTCACAGCATCTTTTATACTAAAATTTTCAATACCAAAAATCGAATCTACTCCAAACACAACAGATTAAAATAACATTAAATTAATTAATTTATATCGCCAAAATTGATATCAAAATATTACATTTAATAGCAAAAAAAACGAAAATGGTATCTATTTTTCTTACGCAATCATTAATATGAAAATTTCCTGTTAAACTATGACTTTAATTTTATGACACTATTTTAGGTGACCTGTGAATTGCAAAAAAAATAAAATATTTATGGTTGAATCTATTGGCTGGACTATCAAATTATATTTTCTTTTTTTCCGAATTGACGAAAAATATTAAAAAATGTGTAGATAAAAATTAATAGTAAGAAATCCACATGTGAAGCATTGAAAAACGAGGTCAAAAGAGATAATGGTTTTTTTTTTCGGTTGAATGCAAAAATGAACTAGCCAATTCAGAATTTGAACATTTATGTTGTTAGAAAGGAAACAAAATGTAATTAGATGATGTTTTGAATTGGTGTAAAATTACCGATTCGCCAGACTGTAACTTATAATTTCTTCATTCTTCTACAAACGAATGCTAAAACTACAGAAGAAAAAATCAATCTAAATAAACATGTGTAAAATGGATTATCGAATATTTTGCAATAAATTCGTATCTTTCAATAAAATAACACACTATCAATTTCAATATTTTATCTCCCTCATCTCCCACTCCCATGAATCGCACCATATTGACTATTAACTATTTTTTTAATGGATACACTTTTTATATCAATTTCTTTTTAGTAGCGTCTCTTCATATTTAAAGAGGACAGATTTTTTAATAATTTTTTTTTTATCGAAATTTATCGATTCAACTTTATAGTTACCATTGAGTACTTTCCATCAATTTCGCAAATTAAATGGAATTTATGACAAAGTAGCAGAATGAACACCGTTTCATGTGTTATGTGTATAATGCATTTAGATGAAACAAATTCGATTTTTTATCACTATTTTCATTGAAAGCAAAGCACTTTTTGGATCATTGTGAATATTTCACAGAGACGATTAAAACGAATTGAGCACGTAGAATGTCTAATCTATCATTAGGCTAATTTCCATCCATTTAAAATTCGCATCCAATTTAATCGATTTTTTTTTCCTTTCAATCATTATAACACCTAATGTTTGTGATTTTATATGTTCATTATATTCTTAACCTTGGACAAGTGTAATCTAATTGGAATTTCGATCTTTTATTTTCAGCCGCAATTGGTTTACTTCAAACTGATAGTGTGCACTTGCCCTAATAATGCTATTTATAATGAATATTTTGCGACGATATCTGTAGAAATTTTTTTGAATAACATAGTATTAACGTAATTAGATTTTTCTAATTGACAACAAAATTGACTTGAGACATTTACATAAGTATTATTGATCGCATTATAATTTGACCATTTATTATCTGTCTGATTTTTAATTGCTAACGCAAAATTATTTTATTATGAATTCCTAATTTTCTCGTAGCTAAAAAATATGAACAATGTGCCGCAATATGCTTCAGAGAATCTCTTGTAAGATGGTATGTGTGTGTATCTGTGTATATTGTAGTTATTCGATTTGCTTATTTCTTTTCATTCTTTATTCTGAACATGACTCACATTTTCATTTTGCCTTCCACATTCGTTCAACTCAAAAAGAACAACACTGTGTATGCATATCAATGAATATCAACAAACAATTCAGTGTGCCGCTTACATATATATAGTGAGGTTCGTTGGTGTTTGTAATTAGATTAGAGTTGTGTCTCTTGCTTTGTTTGTGTGATAAAAACGTGTTTCAATGTTGTTATACCAAATTATTGTGAGTGGCAGAGTGTTTTGTTGTGTATGCATTGCGATTCATATGTTTTGTTGACATGCGCAAATGAAATGCCGACACTTCAAACTGTCAATCAATCGTATTGTGAATGAAACTAGTTACGCGCTTAGATGTAAACATTTCACGAGAATTTTCGCACACCATGAAATGTGTTTAGAAGTTCAAATACACATATATACATACACAAATGTATACCTGAAACGAAATGCTTATCGAAATTTGCGCGAATATCAGTCTGAGTTTTGACGTTGTCGGAAGAGCATGACAGCAGTGTTTACACCAGTGAAGATGTATATAAATTGCTATTGAAAATATGTGATAAAGAAAGTTAAGTGCAAAGTAAATATATTTGAACTAGTTCTCATAAGTTATGAAGCATTTTATCAATTATTATATGTAATTTATAGATTATGTAAGCTGTGGATTCAATTAAATCAGTGTAGAAAAAACTAAAGTAGAGTTATTTCATAAAGTGTGTTGAATTGTGTTTGCAAGTCAGCCAACGATGGAATCATCGCGAAAACAGTTACCACCAAATCCGCGGGAACATTCAAGCATTCTTTCAGTGCTGTTTTTCACATGGACATGGTCTATATTCAAAAAAGGCTATACAAAAATTTTGGAACTGGATGACATTTTTCAACCACTAAAGTGTGACAAATCAGAAACATTGGGACACCGACTCGAAAAGTATATTAATATTGTTTATTTTACAAATTAGATTTACATTTTTATGGCGATAAGTGGGCGAGTAAAAATGAAATATAAATATTGGTCTACGCATAATTACAAAAAACAATAGACATACGTGCGAGAATCAAAATCATAAAACAAAAGAGTTTATTTCCAACCACTTCACGGAACATTTTCTATTGTAAGCATTCATTTTTCAAACGCTCATACAAAATGTTAAAAAAACACTTATCTTTTACTACAACAGATCTCAACTTCTCTTTTACCAAAAGATAAATCGTAAAATATAGTTGCAATAACTTATCATTATCTAAACATGCGCTTAGCAACCTTAAATTTTTTGTTATAAAATTATATAAAACATGACTGTCCAATGATACATCAGAGCGTTGTACAGTAATTATACAGTGGGACTACAAATCTATAATTTATGACCTTGTTTTTTTTTATTCTACTTGAAATTACGTTATCATTAGTAACGAGTATTTGAAAAAAAAAATTATTTGTTCTAGGTTCTGAAAGTCACTTCAGATTTATCTTTATTTTTGCTATCGAGATTGCATTGATTGAAATAATAATCACAAATCACTATTATTTTGATTTTTGTGGTTTATAATACAATAAGTATTTTGAAAAAATTTCAACGATTCATTCATTTATGTAGTACGAAGAATCAACTCTGTTGTGTATCATTTCCATTGAACAAGTATTCTGTTTGCCAATTAAATTGACCTGCATCTAATAAAACCAATCAAAAAATTACAACGTTTTGTAATCATGTCTAGACTGTCCACAGTGTGGTACATTTTTTTTCTCATTGCGAATTTATTTTACGCTTAGAAAATGGGAAAAACAATTGATGAAATCGAAACCGTCTTTATTGTCAGCCATTGTCGCGACATTCTGGAAAGAATACACATTGTATGCGCTCGTTTGTACATTTACTGATCTGGTTTCACGTTTGGGCCAACCATTGATCCTAGGCAAATTGTTGCTCTTCTTCCGGTAATTAAATACATTGAAATACAAAAACTTTTGAATCGATTGACATAGAAAAGCATATTTTTGTCACAGTAACGATTCACAGATGACATATGACGATGCATTGAAATATGCCGGCTTACTTTTACTATTCAATGGTATGCAAGTATTTGGATGGAATCAATTTTTCATCATGGGTTTTCATAATGGTATGAAAGTTCGTGTGGCTGTGTGTAGCTTAATTTACGCCAAGGTAAATCCTCAATCCTCAAATTGATATTATTTGTCTCTTAAAATAATATATATATTATTTTCTCGCCAAAAGTCATTGCGTTTGTCTCAGACTTCACTTGGTGAAACAGCGCCCGGAAAGGTTGTTAATCTATTATCGAATGATGTCAGGTAAAATAAATCAATCGTAGCACGCTTTTAATTCTACTGTAAATTTATCTAATCTATTTTTTTTTTGGTCAGCCGTTTTGAATGGGTGTCATTATGTTTGAATTCTATGTGGATTGCACCGCTGCTTAGTATCATTGTTGCGTGTTTACTGTGGAGTGAATTTGGATTTGCCGGTCTGATTGGCATTGTCGTTATCTTGATCGTAGTTCCCATTCAAAGTAAGAATCAACACGTTTATGGCGAATTCAATTAGAAAAACCACAATTTTTTTAGGTTACACTGGGAAATTAACATCGAAATTCCGTTCAAAAACGGCTTTACGCACTGATCAACGAATTCGCTTCATGGACGAAATCATCTCTGGTGTTCAAGTAATCAAGTTTTATGGGTGGGAGAGCTGCTTCGCCAGTTTAGTTTCAACGGCTCGTAAGCTGGAATTGCAAATCATTCGCAAGACATCATTTGTTCGTGCCCTTTATATGACTTTTAATCTTTTTACAACTCGAGCTGCTGTTTTTTGTACAATGTTGGCAATTGTTTTGCTATACGGATCAAACGAAATAACTGCCGATAAAGTGTTTGTCGTTTCTTCGTACTTTAGCATAATTGCGATGACAATGAGCCAGCTCTTTGTGCGTGGGGTAGCCGAAATTGCTGAATGCTTCGTCGCTATAAAACGATTAGAAAACTTTTTAACTCTTGATGAAAAATCAACGAAACAAATTACCAACAATACTAATGGAAACCATAAAAATAATAGTAAAATTGAGGTAAAAATTGAAAAAAAAAATTGAATTTAAAATAATCTTGCCGATTTCTACTTCAGATGGAATTAATAAAAAATAGTCTGGTTGAAGCGCAGCCATCGATTACACTAAAAAATGCAACGGCAATTTGGACAGTGCCAACCCCAGAGACTACTTCAACTAAAAAAAAATATAATAGCAAAACTGAAAGAATCGAACTTGATAAACTGGTAACAAATACAGTTGCACCAACTCTGGATGGTTTAAGCATTGAATTCCCAAAGGGAAAATTAATCGGTGTGATCGGCACAATTGGTTCAGGCAAGTCGTCATTACTACAGGCCATTCTACGCGAATTACCACTCGAATCGGGCACGATTAGTGTGAATGGATCTATTTCTTATGCATGTCAAGAGGCATGGGTGTTTGCGGCGTCTGTAAGACAAAATATTTTATTTGGCGAAGAATACGACCGTGATCGATACAATGCCGTGATACGAACTTGTGCGCTGGAAAAAGATTTCGAACAATTGGAAAATGGAGACCGTACCATTGTCGGTGAGAAGGGTTCATTGAGCGGTGGTCAGAAAGCACGAATCAAGTGAGTTGATTAAAAAGTCAGAATGTTTGCTGGCCACATTTTTATTTTACAATGTTCAATTACAGTTTGGCACGAGCATGCTATCGAAATGCAGACATTTACTTATTAGACGATCCATTGAGTGCGGTTGACGCTCATGTTGGCACTCACATATTCAATAAATGCATTGGGCCCAAAGGTCGGCTCGCAAAACTTCACGCAACACGCATTTTGGTCACACATCAAGGTAAAATTCACCTTTTTTCGATCAGTTTTGACTTTAATTGGCATCTTTTGTTTGTTTCTTTTTTATAATTTCAGTTCATTTTCTCAAAGAAGCTGATTGGCTTGTCATTTTGAAAAATGTAATCATAATTTTATCTTTTTATTGTTGTTGGCACTTCTTATAACAGTGTTCCAAGATTTTAACCGAGTATTTCTGTTTTCAGGGTCGAATTGAAGTCCAAGAAGCCCCGGCAGATTTGGCTCAAAGTGGAGTTGATTATGCGCAACTTGTCGGAATCGACGAAGAAAAAACAGTGGACGGAGAGTCTGATACACGGTCACGAAAAAGATCTACTACAAGCACATCGTCGAGTAAATCTTCGAAATCTATCAAAGAGCCTGAAAAAGATGGAGACGAACTACAAGATAAAGGTGTTCAAATGGAAGAAACGTCAAAGGGAAAAGTAAAGGGTTCTGTGGCAGCGCATTATTTCAAAGCGGGTGCACATTGGTCGATACTTTTTTTCCTGGGACTTTTGTTTTTAATCGTTCAAATACTGGCGAGTGGAGCTGACTACTGGGTTTCCATATGGTATATGTTTTTAGCATAATTACAAATTCAGAAAAAAAAAATCTGATTGATTTCAGGATAAAGCAAGAGGAACGAATGCGCAATCTTAACAAGACGGATGTCAGCAACGTTGAGAATGCAACAGAAAATGTCATCGTTGATCCCAATTCAAATGAACAAGATGTATCGTTTGCTTTGAGTACGGAGATGTGTATGTATATTCATGGTGCATTAATAGCATCAATATTCATCCTAGGAATCATCAGGTATGCGAATGATTCTATTTTCAATTTCTTTAAAAGTCAATTTCAATTTAAATTCATTTAGATCGTTGAGTTTCTATGTGATTTGTATGCGAGCTTCACAAAATCTGTACAATTCAATGTTCAAAGGCATAATATCGACAGCGATGCGTTTCTTTGAGACAAATCCTTCAGTGAGAATCACAATAATAATTGAATTTAACACTTGAATCTTATCTTCAAACCTCTACCTTTTTTCAGGGGCGAATTTTGAATCGCTTCTCTAAAGACATAGGGTATGTTAACTGTTATAAAAAATCTTTCCTCCCAAATTCAAAAATATATTTACACATTGAAACGATTTTTATTCAAAACAGAACGGTTGACGAATGGCTTCCAAAGGCAATGCTCGATGTAAAAATCTTTTCCACTTTCTCTCTGTGAAACAATGAACAGAATTTTTTTTATACAGGGTACCCAATCGATTTTATCGTTGGCTGGAAGTATCGTTATAACAGCGATGGTTAGTTTTTACTTTTTGATCCCGGTGCTGGTGATGGGATTGCTTTTTATGTACATTCGAAAAGTTTACTTGAAAACATCGAAAAATATCAAGCGAATCGAAGGCATTGGTAATGTTGCTTCTTTGTACAAAAAAAAATATAGATCTCATAAATGATTCATAAATTCAGCAAAATCGCCGGCATTCACACATTTGGCGGCGACTTTGGGTGGTTTATCAACGGTGCGAGCATTCAATGCCGAAAAATTATTACAAAATGAATTCGATTACCATCAAGACACGCACACAGCCGCATGGTTTATGTTTGTCGCGACGGGGTCTGCGTTCGGTTTTATATTGGATGTCTTATGTTGGGTATTTATTGCTTCCATTTTAAGTTTTTATTTATTGGTCGACACTGGAGCTTCCAGTGAAATGGTGGGCCTTGCCTTGGTAAGTGACATCTTTTTTTTTTCTTGCAAGAAGACAATAGTTTAATATATGTTAAATGTCATTTAGACGCAAATCCTGGCTCTGACGGGCATGCTTCAGTGGGGTGAGCAGTTTTTTCCTTGTTCTTCATTATGTCCCAAAAAGAGATTTGATATAAAGTTTAAAACTCATGTGCAATACTTTTTACTATAGGAATTCGTCAAAGTGCCGAAATAACCAATTTAATGACGTCAGTTGAACGTGTGATCGAATATCGTGATTTGGAGCCGGAAAAACAACCGAAAAATCCACAAGAAATATCGAAAGATTGGCCCATCGACGGGTCCATTGAATTCCATTATGTGTTCTATAGGTATTTTGCTGAAGGCGAACCAGTCTTGAGAGGCTTGTCATTTGAAATCAGACCAAAGGAGAAAATTGGTAATACAATAACATGGCAATGTTTATTCTCTAAATAGAATGTTTTATGATTGTCACACTGTAGGAATTGTCGGCAGAACGGGAGCCGGTAAGAGTTCATTGATTGGCGCCCTTTTCCGGTTAGCATGCATCGAAGGAAAAATATTAATCGATGGCATCGATACAGCCAATATCCGTTTAAAAGATCTACGTAAACGAGTTGCTATAATTCCACAAGAACCAGTGCTCTTCAGTGGCACTTTAAGACGGTAGGATTGAATGAAATTCCATGCAACATTTCTATGATAATAATCAATGTTGTGTTTTGTAAATGGCAGAAATTTGGATCCATTCGAAGAATATCCGGATGATGAAATTTGGAGTGCTTTGGAAAAAGTTGAATTAATGGATATAGCAACAAGTAGTTTGGGATTACAATCGCCGGTAATGGCACGTGGTGCCAATTACTCAATCGGACAAAGACAACTTCTATGTTTAGCTCGAGCGATATTGAGAAAAAATCGAATTCTCGTGTTGGACGAAGCCACTGCCAATGTTGACCCACAGTATGTGCAATGAAATATTTAAATTATTTGAATCGTTGGTACCTCTTTTTTTTATCACACTTTAGAACGGATTTATTGATCCAACAAACGATTCGTGAGAAGTTTGCCGAATGTACCGTTTTGACGGTGGCACATCGATTGCACACCATCATTGATTCGGATCGTGTGTTAGTAATGGATCTTGGACGAGCTGCTGAATTCGATAAGCCACACAATCTATTGAAAGATGATTCAGGCATTTTCTACAGTATGGTCCAGGCGCTCGGACCACAAGAATTCAATCGATTATCACAAATCGCACAAGAAAAATGTAACCCATCGAGCAAATAAATGAATTGAATTTTTCGGACGAATTTCAGTGAAATTAATTCACACATCAGGGATCAAATTGTTAAGGCATCCAAATGAAATTCTTTAGTTATTATTAACTTAAATGGAATATACTTTAAATGAGTTGTAAATAAAATGTATTAAATTTGAAAAAAAAAATTGAATTCAACATTCAAAGGTATTTTTTCACTTCTAACTACGAAACAAACAACAAAATAAATAAATATCTATTGCACAGTGTTACGATGAAGCATGTATTCATAGGCGCTTTGTCGAGAAAACATTCGATGTACATTCACAATGTGAGCAATTCACAAGAGGTTTGAGCATACGGTAACCAATTTGGCGCGGTCCATTTTGAACGAGCCATACTACAATAAAACTGAATGAATGTTCAACGACTTGTTGGTGATAAATAAATAGGAATGAATAACATTCACCATTAATTTTGAGTCAGAGGAAATTATGACCACATATAACATTTTCGAAAGACAAATTGAATGCATGTTATTAAATGTGTAACTTGTCCTAAGCTACAGTGCGTTTTTTTATAAGAAACCCGCGATTTTTTTATCAAAAATTTCAAATATCTTAAATATATTTTTGGTGTTGTCAGATGACACTCTAAGCTACGACGGAAAATAAATTTCACAGTTTTCAAATCAGTGCAATGGTTATTGTACAACGAAAATATGAATTCGGAATATTTTCGTAAGCGTTTTGAAGCAGTGTCTTTGCATTTGCATCCAGAAGGACCACAATGGTCGCAAGCAAAGGTCGCAAAATACATTAAAAAGTCGAAAGGGTTCGTAAATAAGTGGATCCAGCAGTATAAGCGTGAAAAAAATGTGAACGATCAGCCCAATATGAAGCCAAACCTAGCCACCTCGCCACCTCGCCACAACAAGATAAACGGATAGTCAAGTTGTTCGATGAAAATCCAGTTATGACGTTGAATCAAGGCGTTGAACGGCTACGGCGTCATAAAATAGACGTGTCGAAGACCACGCTCAAAAGAAGATTGGATGTTGCCAGTGTTCATTATCGCAGTACAGTGAAGAAATCACTTTTGACAGAAAACCAGAAGAAAAACGCATTAACCGGGCAAAGCAAAATTCAACAAGAGATTGGAGCGAAGTTATATACACTGACGAGTCATTCTTTTGGCTGGTGAATAGCACTACCCATGCCTAGTCTAGAGCCGAAAAGAGAGTGGTCGTTCGCACGGTAAAGCATCCGAAAAAGGTGCATGTTTATGGATGCTTCTGTGAAGCTGGTTTTGGAAAGTTAACCCTATTCACAGGCATTCTAAACGCCGTGAGGATGAACCAACTTTATTCATCTACACTGTTACTCACCGCCAAGAAGTTTTATGGCAATGACAATTCGAATTGGCTTCTATTAGAAGATAATGATCCAAAACACAAAAGTCGTCTCTGCACCGCTTGGAAAGAGGAAAATGGAATAAAACAAATGATCTGGCCGCCACAGTCACCCGATTGCAATCCAATCGAAAATGTTTGGGCTATTATTAAGGCAAGGCTTCGTGGTAAAATACACCACAACTTGAAGCAGTTCAGTTCATTCATTCAACGACAGTGGAAGGGTTTTCGACGCGAATATGCTGAAAATTTGAGCAAAAGTATGACAAATAGATGTGCCCGTGTGATCGAGAATGACGGTGACTGGATTAAATATTGATTGTGCCCGCAGTAGCTAAAATACCAAATAAAATATATATAAAATAATTTCCTAAAACTCATGTGTCTTTGTTTGAAAAATCGCGGATTTTCTATAAAAAACGCACTGTAATTATGTTATTATAACAAGAAAGAACAAACGTTAATGCTAATATGAAATTGGAATTAAATTCTCTTGGACATTTTCAATACCCAATATTTAATGTATTCTTCAGGCCACAAAACTTCAAAATCTGTTATTAATCAATGTAATTTGATGTATTATACTAAAGTCGATTGACGCAGTGTTCTCAGATTATATTTTTTTTTATTATTTCCTTTAACTCCTAGTGGAGCATAGGGCCTTGAGATAAGAATTCTTATCTTTCTGGTTTCTGTTGATCAATTAATTCAGATAAATCGGTGATCAGCCGATTGTATCCTACATTTCTTATGATTTTGCCATATTCTATATGGCGTTGGATTTCTATTTTACTTGTCTGTGCTGAAATCCATACCTTTGTTGTACACAGACACGGTTGACACAGTATTTTACGACTACATACGATGTTCTAAACGGTCACCCATTTATCTCCTGACCGAAGCTTGTGCAGCTTAACTCAGTTGATCGAATAGTGCCGCAGTGGTCGTAGTAGCCACTGTGCCCACTCTCAGATTATATAGATAATTCATATTTGTTTTTTGTTTTTTTTATTGCAACAACACAAAATGTACAATTAATAACCCTTCATGTTTTGAGGCAATAAAATGTTTTGGTGGAAATTTAAGGGAGGGGTAATTGGAAAAAATCGAGAGGGGAAAGCAAAAAATCCAATTCTATATAGTGCATAAAAGAACAGTTTTTGATTCCACTCGGAAATGAACATTAAACATGTACACGAAAACCAGTTTACAATTTTAAATACAGCATCGCAACATATTAGTATTTGTAGTGGCTAAGTTGAAAGTGGTCTTTCTCCTCCTATTTTGACCCATCAAATTGAAGCAATATGATAAAATAGATGGTGAACGAAGAAATCACCTGCAAACAGATTACAATAAAATATTATGTGTGGTATGTTTTGCAATCACTCATAAAATTTTGCCAATTTCAGATCACAGCTGATAAAATTTTGTTATTTCAGTACAATTTTTTCAAGACAAATTGAGTGCATGTTATTAAGTGTCTTGAGCAAAGAAAAACTGTCAACGGAGAACTAGTACTAAGTCTAATTATAATAAGAAAGAACATACGTTATGTAATAAAGTCCAATCAAAATTTAATAGTCCACAAGTAACCATCGGATATCGATATTGTATTTGCTTTGATAAACAGCTCAACTATTTTTTGAGAGATGTAGAGTAATTAAAATTGGAAACCAGATGTTATCAAATCTTACCGCCAAATTGACATGTTTATCATGGCACGAATTGAGGATCACGTGTACCATTTTGGAAACATGTTTACTCTGGATTATGAAACAAAATATTTTTTATAAATAGTACAAGTTATTACCGCCATTAAATCGTGTTATTACCTTCGTTACAATTAAGCTTCCGGTGTAAATTACCACAATTCCGATCACGGTGTAAAATATTTCGAAGGTGAGCTGAACAAACGATATAACTTTGACTGTTTCATTTTCGTTAAATAATTAGCGTAGAAATGCAAGAGGCGTTACAAGTAAATTAATGAACCCAAGCCCATAGTGACACATAATCTAAAATCAAAAATATTCAAGAAACAATGTCACATTTGGTTCCAAAATTGAATTAATATTAACTTGTATAGAATAGCAGCGGTTAAGTTCATCCATTATTTCAGTTAAACAGTTATGTTCTGTACCAATAAATTTTATCATGTCAATCGCTTTCTTTTTGTCTCGAAGCATTGAGCTATCTTTTGGAAAATGTTTTCTAGATATGAATTTGAAAAAAAGTTCAGATAAATAATAAGAATTGAATGAATTTTATATGAGATAAAAACAACCTTAACAATGAGTTTAAAATGTCGAAACGATCACAAAGAAGGAACATAAGCACAAAATATGTTGTATATTGCGCAGTTATAAAACCATTTATCATATTATATAAACACAATCTGATTATTTCAAATAGTGAAAAATTCCCAGAATTAAGCTTGATTAAGAAATAGGCTATGAATGCTGTCACAATGCTCGAAAATAAATTTGCAAAACACCATATTATGACCTGGCGACGTTTTCGCTTGTAATCCAAATAAACTCCATATTTTGCAATCTATATTTTAATACATAACAAATAATAGATTTACAGTGCAGAAACAATATATTTAATCACAAAAATTTACGTTATTATCGAAACGTGTAAATCCATTCAAAATGTGAATATAGCGCTTTCGATTGTACAAATCCCATATAATCGTACAAGGATGTGAAATCAATTGTACGTTGGTAATTATGTCAGTGAAAACCGAAGATATACCCCATTGATCAAGATAATCTCGCCAAAATGCGAGTTTTGTAAAGTAAATCCAAATCAAAACTAGATTAACACAAATCAAAATCACGAACCAAATCCAGTCGAATAGTTTAACTCGAACTCTTTGAATGCTACCATTTGAGTCAGAAATGAATGAAAATGGTAAAAGTCCAAGTGCACGAGAAAAGAAGTAAATTGGTCGGAAAATGTTGAGGAAATTTTCCTTAAAAACTGTAACATTTTGCTTGGAATTGGAATAAATTTCTCGATAATGTGCCAGATTAGATTCTAATATTATAGAAATTGATTTTCTGTTTAGATCGGACATTTCCAATGTAAATGGTATTCTCAAAGTTAGGAAAATTCAATATCGACTATTGATCAATATGACTTGATGTAATATACTAAATTTGAACGCTACAGCATTCGATTTTATACTTCATGAACATAATGGAATCATGATCATTGGTGGTTTTGAGCAATAAATAATTGTTGATTCCAACTAAAAATATTCGGGAAATTTTCGTTTTTGTAATTTTTAGAAGCGCATTTCCATTTTTTATTGTTTTATTGTATTTACATTTTTGTTGATCATGAAAAACAAAATGGAGATTATAAACTTGGTTCAACACAGAGCGTAAAGTGAGCCGCTTTTGAGCTGAAAACTGATGGTAAAGATTTTATATTGGCAGTGAAGAATTCTGGTTTTCGATCAAAATATTCTGTTTTCGTTAGAAAAGTGTTGAGAATTTCATGAAAATGACAAATTTGGATGCTGGAATATTTGAGAACTTAAGAAATTTGTCAAAATAAAGCTGCACATAAATTTTTTGTATTTTTATTTTATTATATAATTTTTATACTCTTTTATTTTAACAAAAAAAATTAGGTCACGAATATTCTAGCCGATTCGTTTACAACCTAGGGGTTTTCATGTATTTTTATTGGATGAAATTTGCATTATCGTTGCATATTGGTATATCGTTGAAATATCGGCGGA